GNATGTCATAGTAAAATTTCTTAAAATCACATAAGCAATTGTTATAATAAATGTAATATTTTTCAGCTAATTAATTGGTCATGATCACTCAAAATTATAAAAAGTATATATTTATTACATTTTATGCAATCAATATAGTGATTCATATACAATCAAATCGTGTGTACTATTTATTTTAACTAATGATCAAATTTTAAAATATAATACTATTATATAATTTATAATTTTAATATTATATACATAATATAACTTATAATACTATATGTTTGAAATATAATACAATTATATAACTTATAATTTTTATATTATATACATAAATATAACTTATAATATTTAATTTTATTTACATCTGTGCAAATGCACAGAGTCAAATACTAGTAAATTACTTATATGGCAAATCATTAAATAAAACCTAATAACTTTACCTATGTAACATTAATCCACTCGGTCCCATTAATGATAAAATATTTCATTAGTTTTTATTTTTTGGTTAATTAAGACAGAAACATTTACATGTTATATTAATTGAGTAATAATTATATTATTTTTATTGAATCATATAATAGTTATTATTTAAATTTACTAATTATATTTTACACTAAATAGTATATGAAAGTTACATAAACATAAAAGACTATACTGCAAAAACTTTTTGTTCAAGTTATTTATTCTTAAATTAATATATATTTTTATCTAATTAAGCAATTATTTTTTAAATAAATTATTTTTTTAATGTCATTGTAAAATTTCTCAAAATCGCATAAACAATTGTTAGAATACATTTAATATTTTTACTCTATTTGGTCATGATCCCTCAAAATAACAAAAATAACATTATTTATTACATTTTATGCAATGAATATAGTGATTTTTATGCAATCAAATCGTTATGTACTATTTATTTTAACTAATGATCAAAATTTTAAACATAATATTATTACCTAACTTATAATTTTAATATTATATGCATAAATATAACTTATGATACTCTGTGTTTAAAATATAATACTATTATGTAACTTATAATTTTAATATTATATGCATACAAATAACTTATAAATTTCATTTATATTTGTGCAGATGCACATGATCGAATACTAGTTATTATTATTGTGGAAAGTAATTGTTACATAGTATACAATTGAAATCTATTTATCAATTTGTATTCATGTTAGTCCGATATTTATATTTCAATTGCGTGACTAGGCTCAAAATTTTCCTCTATGATCATACACAAGAATCTTTCTTATCATGTAACATACATTCTTCATTTATTTGACGACTTGTTACATAAATATAACCATGATAGCTCATTGTTTTTCTTGTCCATTGGGCTAATCATTACTTAATGAAATGTCGTTATCGCATGAGGTTCTTTACTAGTTTGAGAAAATTGGGCCAGTATTATATTTTTTATGGTCGGCCCAATTCTGATGGATGCAATCATGCATGTATGGAACTGGATGAATTTGAGTTCAAATTTGAATTCGTTAGATGTTTTTATTAAATGGGAAATATTACGTAAATAAAAGAAATTTTCATCACAAATCGATTAACTGGTTTGAGTTTTATTGTTTATTCCATAAAAGCTAAATACGTAAATTAGCTTCGAAAGTTAAACGAAAGACAATCAATTTTTAAAAGATTTGTTGCAAGCATTACTGATTTATTGTTCATTGTTTGTATATTGGTCTATTTTGTTAATCTTTTCAATATTGTGTAGCAGCAATTGTTTCGCCATTGAATGAAATTTGAATATGATTTGTTTATACGACCAACCAGTTCAAATAAACCTTTATTTCTGCCAATTTATTATCTACTTCTTTGGAACTTGCTAATTGATTTGGTATAAGATGAATTTGAACCATGCTAGACAAACGAGCAAGAACTTTAAGTCCTCGATCAATATATCTTAATCAAGTTATACAAATTGACATGGTGACATACATAGATTGTACAAAATATAACACATTCATAACTAGTGTATTAATTTTAACATTTTTTTTTTCATAATGTATATTTTATGTAACAAAAAAAAGATCTATTTTATTATACTAAGACAATAAAATTTGCACCTATCGGCCGCAAGTATTTTCGTGTATTATTGTACCCCTTTTCAATAAAATGAGAGAAAAAATGGGATAAAAGTTTTCTAATTCTCGACATGAACGCTCTCAACTAGTTCAATGATGGAGTATGGACCCTTTTTGCATCAAATTTCGACCAATCAACATATATGATACAATACCGTTTACGAATATCTTTTGAAATTCGAATTGAAAAGCACGAATCTTAATTACGCTCATAATTAAAAGATTTGAGCAATGTTTTTGGAGGCTGAAAATAAGTGTTTTCGTACAAGAGCCCATTTGAAATTCAAGATCCAACCGACGACGAAGCGTTTGTTTTATTTTATTTTATTTTTTGTATCTTTGAACTATAATGAACGTCAAACACGGTGTAGAACACTATTAATCATGCCAATAGAGTCATGGGAGATGAATGATGTTATATGACCACAATTTTTTTCATTTGGTTCCATATGCATGTAAATGTCAAAATAAAATATAAACATATATGAACACTTGTTTAAATTTCAACTAATTAATGGATTCATAAAATTTGAATCTTTATGTATTTATAGGTTCTTACCACACATATAAAATATTCAATTGATCTTGCATTGAACACATTATTAATAATTTAGTACACTCTACATCTTTACCAACCGTAGCTTTTCTAACTAGGCCATTTCCTAGGTCATAGGGTTTCTTAATTTCTATACATTTCGAATAATATCAATCTTTTCAAAGTTAAATGTTCAGTG